AGGTGAGCCGCACGCTCGTTTCCCTATCCCTATCCTATAAAAAAAAAACTGTCATCGGTTTTTTCAATGGAGCTAATTTGGTTTTAGCGGCTACTAGCCTAGAATAGCGGTGGAGTCACACCAACCAAAGATCAGTTTCTTTTTTTTTAATGAAGTCCATTCTCAAGGACTCTTCAAAAATACAGTTACTGTTATTTGTTTTGTTGATTGCTTTGTTTTGTTAATTGTTTTGTTTTGTTTTATTAATTGTATTGTTTTAAAATTATACACCTCTCTCTGTTCCGTTTCTGTTATGTTTCCTTGTTGATAGTATCTATATTTCTTTGAAATGCTTTATAATTAGCTCCTTGTCTTCTTAGTTTTTCCTCCACGTTATTGTATACAGATGTTGGTGGTACTGTACTTACGATAGGTTTTTGCTTGCTGGGTGTTTTAGGCACATCATGAAATACTTCTTGCTTAAAATATCCTTTATGCACATACTTCTCAATTGTTGTTATAGCACTAGAATACAGTTTTATTTCCGATTCGTAATGTTTGTTGAGAAAGTAATCACTGGTTTGATCGTCGCACTGGACCAAGAATTCGTGGTTAGCTTGAAAATCCTCAATGAATACGTTTAGGCGCTTCAGTCTTCTTTTCACTGTGGCATACCTCCGTTCAGTGTTATCTTTCTTGAAGCTATCCAACTCCTTCTAGATGTCTGCTGTTAATTCTGACTGTTTTCGTAGAAGATATTCCATTGTTTGTTGTTGTTGCTCTTAATGTTGTTGTTTATGTTACGCAGACACTACACCCCTGTTGATGTTTCGTTGGATCTTTAGTAAGCTCTCATGTGAATAACGTACCTTCTCAATCCGCTGGTGAGACCCGCTTGTGCGAGGCCAGAGGACCGATTGCTCACACTTGAAACTCATCAAAAACCACCGCTCGAAGGACCAGATGTCGGGGGTGTGTCTGGTTGTTTGTTAAGTATGTTGAATTGATAACGTTCGAAATAGTAAAAAATCACTTTATTTAAAACAGTTACAAAAATGTTAATAAATTGTTATGAATGCACCCGCCACTGTTACGTAACGAATGTGCCCTAAACAAATTGGCGGCGTTGCGCCAATTGCTGACAAAGGTGTTCAGTTTCACCGAACATATTCCCGGGGGATGAAGATAACATAAAACAATAAAATTAAAAAATTAAGAAACATATTATAAAGATTCATCATTGAACACTAATTTTGGGAACGCAACGCGCGATTTCACATTTCGTTTTCCTGAAATGTTCATGTCCACCGTCTGAATATCTTGTTGTGATGTGGAGATGCTGGTTCACGGCGCAGGATGAGGACGAGAGCCGCGCTGTTCTTCCGTTGTCGGGTCTACATTAGGGTTGTTCCAACTCCGTCGCACCTTACGCTATGCTGCTACCACTCCCACCAGAAGTATAAGACCGACGATGCAGTATAGCTTTATTTTGTTTATCCATAATTCCCTCCAACCGTTTCAGATAGTGGTATTCGGATTTCACCACAGATGTCTGATTGATCCACAACGTTTTAAGATGGGCTTGGTCTTGTTTGATAAAGTTAATATCACGTGTATATTGTTCGGCGATTTGTTCATCCAATACTCCGAACAATATATTGGCCAGGTAACCGACCCCATTAATAAGGCCGCATTGTCGCCGTCTGGAGCGCTCGGTAAAATGTTGGGTCAGCAGTCAGTTATCAATTCAACATACTTAACAAACAACCAGGCACAACCCCCGACATCCGGCTCGAAGGACCAGATGTCGGGGGTTGTGTCTGGTTGTTTGTTAAGTATGTTGAATTGATAACGTTCGAAATAGTAAAAAATCACTTTATTTAAAACAGTTACAAAAATGTTAATAAATTGTTATGAATGCACCCGCCACTATTGCGTAACGAAAGTGCCCTAAATAAATTGGTGGCGTTGCGCCAATTGCTGACAAAGGTTTTCGGTTTCACCGAACACTGCCTCCGCTGGTAAAACCGAATGGCACACTGGCGCATTCGGCTAATGGGAAAGCGGACCTGTTCGCATCTCTCTTCGCCTACAATTCACGTCTGGACAGAGGCAACAACGTTCCACCTAAATTAACTCACTGCGGGTCCTCTATGTCAGAGGTTCGTATAACAAATAAGGAGATTCTTAAAACCTTGTGGTGTCTAGACGTGAATAAAGCTAGTCGAACAGATGGTATACCAGCTATAGTTCTAAAGGCTTGTGCACCTAGATTGTCTCCTGTGCTGACACGCTTGTTCCGCCTCTCATTTAGGACTGGAATAGTGCCAAAATCCTGGAAGCTGGCCAACGTGCAGCCTGTTCCAAAAAAAAGGCAGCCTTGCCGAGCCTGCCAATTATCGGCCAATCTCAATTACCTCCATACTCTGCAAGATTATGGAACGTATATTGAACGCCCGCTTTATGGCATACCTAGAACAGGATGACCTTGTGGCGGCGCTGTCGTCGCGCCACAAGCGAAACACATCGAAGCCTAAATCGCGCTAACAAAGTTACAAAGTTAAAGCAGTATTTATAGAATAGCTCCGAATTGCCACGCGGAGCGTTGGCCGCTCCCCGGACAGAACACCCCGCCAGGCGGGAGATCTCCCCTTTTCCTTCCACCCGCCACAGTGGTGACCAACCGACGTAATATGAACACGCAACTAACAACCTTCGGAAACTACAACTTCAAAACCATCGTCGTCGTCCTCAAGTACCCCATTCATTCGCTCCCGAGCAGATATTGTCTGCAGTCTTCATATTCTGCTTTACAAACTGGAATAATAATGCTTCCTGTTCCTTCAAGCTACTCTCTGCGCTACAGTGTTCGGCACGGCTCTGAGCCTTACTGCTCGCCTCTGCTTCACGGCACTCTCGCAGATTGCCTTCTTCTCGACTCACCGCAGACTATAAGGCAATCCCTGGCACTTGCTCCGGCTCATCGTTCTCACCGGGCATCACTTGCAAGTGCGTAGTATGGCATGCATTACACACCGGCATATCGGTCGGACTGCATTATCGCCCTCCGGTCTGAGCAGAGGGGTGATGTGGCGGAGCTGTCGTCGCGCCACAAGCGAAACACATCGAAGCCTAAATCGCGCTAACAAAGTTCCGAGGTTAAAGCAGTATATATAGAATAGCTCCGAACTACCACTCGGAGCATTGGCCGCTCCCCGGGCAGAACACCTTGCAAGGCGGGAGATCTCTCCTTTTCCTTCCACCCGCCACAATCTTCTTAATGACCAGCAATATGGGTTTCGCCGAAACCGGTCAGCTGGGGATCTTCTAGCGTATGCCACACACATATGGGACGAGGCACTGGAGAACAGTGGGGAAGCAATTGCTGTTTCCCTTGATGTCTCGAAGGCCTTTGACAGAGTTTGGCACACTAGCCTTTTGGGTAAGCTTCCACCGTACGGCTGGTCTGATTGTGTAATGGAACAGTTGTGGTGAAATACCAATCAAGTCCTCGGGCCAGTCGAAATCAAATCCAGTTCGAAAGAGAAGCTATGGTAGAGCGTTTGAATCTCACATGATTACAGGCAGTCTCCGAATGGGGCGATGCCAATCTTGTGAAGTTCAACGCCCCCAAAAACACAAGCGTGTCTCTTCACTGCAAAAAGGAGCCAGCTTATCTTGGCTCCTTCTTTCCGAAATGTATCACTGGAATATATACCGACCGCCTCCAGTAGTTAGGGTTTGAGATATCCTCAAATCTGAACATCGGGTGGTTCATTGAGTCCAAGGCCAAAGCAGCTGCAAGGAAGCTGGGAGTCTTTGCAAAGGTGCGGCGATACTTCACGGCTGGAGAGCTGCTTACTTTATATAAAGCGCAAGTTCGGTCGGGCATGGAGTATTACTGCCATATATGGGCTGGTGCTGCAAAATGCTACCTAGCAGCTTTGAACTCAATGGAAAGGCGTGCTAAGAGGCTTATTGGTGACCCGAATTTGGTTAAAACCAATCTTACCAGCCTCTAACACAAGTAGCCAGCCTTTCGGTTTTTTACAGGATGCATTTCGGAGTGTACGCAGGAATTGCATAATTTAATTCCTCCCTCTCCCTTCCACCATCGGACAACCAGACGTTCCCTTTCGTTATTGACTTACCACGCATTCGAACCAAACGGTTCGCCACGTCGTTCATCACGCGTACAGCAAAGGAGTGGAACAAGTTGACATCATCTGTCTTTCCATCTAATTACAGTGTGTGTTTTCAAGTCAAGAGTGAATAGGCTTTTGTTTAGTCAGTGCGCTTCACCATCTTAGGCTACATCACCACTTACCATCAGGTTGATTTGTAGATAAGCGCTGGCTTAGTTGAATATAAAAAAAGAAGAAAAAGATGGAATGATAATTATGAAATATTCATAATTATATACTACACACATTAATTAACTATATAATAAATCAGTTGTAAATATCCATGGGTTGCATTATAAATTTTCCATTAGAAGGGAATTATTTGTCATTGAATTGTTATGAATAATTTGAATCAGGTGTTGTTACAATAGCAATTACAGTTCTATATAAAGTTGATTACGTGGTAGAACCATGATGCACCTATATAAGTAGTATAGTTGTAGCACGAATGAGTCAGCTCAACCGGAGAAGGACCAAGTTTTCACAGAATACCAGCGTAAAATAGCAGCTTAACGCTGCTGTGTTTCGTATGGTGAGTGTACCGGTGCATGAGAATCGGAGACCCTTTTTACTTGAAACTGGGTATTCCATTTTAGTCCTCACGGGTGACAACGCATCAGCATTTTGATACGTAGTCGAGGATAGATGTAGATGTCTTTGGGCCACAGCAGCCGCTTACCGACTTACCATCAGGTGGACTGTGTGCTCGTTTATCACCTTTATCCTATAAAAAAAAAGTTACCATGTATATATAGGATCTTCTAAGTACCATAAAAAATAAATAAGCAAGTATTAACAACAACTGTTACAACAAAAGTCTTAACACAAAATAATTACCTAAATGATAAATCTCCTGGAGCTGCATTTAAATCACCTGCTAGAATGGAGACATCAGCAGGTGATGAAGTAAGATTTACAAATTCTGCAGTTGAGTAAGCTTGTAGTACTCTATGCGCTAAGTACATATCATCCTCATGATATTCTGCATGCAGCTGTAATATATACATATTTCTACTACACTGTTTTTTATACATGCTCTCATTTACTATGTGATGTGGAGTTGTAGTCCATACAACGTAATTATATATTAGAGTTAGTTTAAGTTTAGAATAATAGATTAGTCTAATTAAGGTCATAGTACAATCAACATGTGTCCTCATTTAATACCTACATGGCAACAATGTAAGACAGTCTAATCTCTTATTCTAAAATTAATTCTTATATATAATTATGTTGTTCTTATATATAATTATGTAATACCATATCTCAACTTATACAGCTGCACTGTTGCATTTGAGTTTGAATTGATTTAATTGTGATATACATACATTTGACAAAAGAAACATAACCTAACCTAACCTAACACGACGATTTATGTACATTGAATATTTTTTTGAACTTTGAATTGTAGGTATACTACATTATCTATACAGATGCCAAAACAACATTTTGTTTGTCTGAAAACTTGAGAACGGATTTGGATGGGACTTTCACTATAGTGCTATTTAGGAGTCGAACCATTGGAATAAATATATATCATCACGCTACCTATCATATGTCGTTCACTCAATAAGTTTTGAGATGCTCAAAATTTAAAAATTTAACGCATCCGTGTTGTTTCTAAAAAACAAATTTATTTAAAAATAGAACTCTATACAATATTAAAAAAAACAAAATTCTATTAATTTTTCTGCAACGGTTCCCGCGCTTTTCATTTAAAACGATGGATCTTAACCGTGAACAAATGCGCGCTATGATATATTATGATTTTAAATTGGGTATAACCGAACAATTAAGTTTACAACGGTTAGAAATCAGCATTAGGGGACTTTTTTAGGTGGTTTGCTGATTTCGAAAGGGGTAAAATTAATCTTAAAAATGACAAAAGAACCAGGCCCCGCAAAGAGCAGTAACAGCAGAAAATGTATAGACTACTGAAATGTTGGAGCGACAAGACCCACGAATCACATTATACGGGCATAGAAAAGATTGTAGGCATTAGTTCGGGGAGCAGTCATACCATCCTACATCAACATCTTGGAGTGAGGAAGCTTTATTGTCGATGGATCCCTCGTTTGCTCTCCAAAAGCGAAAAACAGACTCGTGTGGATTGGTGCCATGAAATGCGTCTACGTTTCGAAAACGGGGCATCTAGGCGTGTTTCAGAAATCGTTACTGGTGACGAGACATGGATCTATTAATATGATCCGGAAAATGAAAGGCAATCATCGGTACGGGTCTATTCAGAAGTACAGTTATCGACAAAACTGCAAAGACCTCGCAACGTTGACAAAAAATGGTGGCTAGTTTTTTTCGCGGAGCGGACATTTGTCGACGTCAATGCTGGAAAATTGTAGGTCAGTCAACTTTACAGTTGCATTACCCAAAACTTTTCAAGCTGTGTGGGAGAGAAGAACAAAGACCGGGCTTCGGGGAATCATGCTGCATCACGATAACGCCTCTTCACAGACTTCCCTAAGAACAAAAGCATTTATTGAGGAATCTGGTGTCGAAACTCTAAGTCACCCACCCTACAGCCCTGACTTAGCTCCTTGTGATTTCTTTTTGTTCCCTTGAGTCAAAGAAAAAATAAAAGTAAAGTTTTTTTCAAACGCCGCAGAAGCCGTGGCTGCCTACGAAGAAGCGATTTCCGACCTGTCAAATCAAGACTGGCAAAAGTGTTTTCAGAGTTGGTTTAGGCGAATGGAACTTTGTATAGAGCATGATGGAGAATATTTTGAACATATAAAATAAATATTAATAGTACCTAGAATACTGCTTGTATTTCTCAAAACTTATTGAGTGACCTATGTAGGAGGTGAAACTCTTATAATGTCAAAATAAAAGCTTTATACTAAGTACATATGAAATTATATACTCTACTTTGTTGCGGCAAATCTCCGAAACAGCTGGACCGATTTTGACGGTACTTTCACTGACAGATAGCTGATGTTATAAAAAGTAACTTAGGCTACTTTTATTATAGAACAAGAATTAGGGTTCCGCGCAAGAAATCTCATGAAATCAAATCATAATCGATTCCATGTGGACGAAGTAGCAGGAAACCGCTAGTGTAGTATATAAAGGTAAACTTTTGTGAATGTACTACAATACTCTTAAGTATCTGCTATACAGTGCGAGTCTTTATAATGTACACATATCGAAATGAGGGAATCTATGCTTGATTTTATCGACGCAAAAATATTTAAAAAAAATCTAAATATATTTAATATGGAATTTTTAAAAAAAAAATTTCATAAATTTTTACAATAATCGTAAAATTTCTCAATAAATGAATGTTTCAATTTTGAGTTCACCATTCCATCTGTGTAAATTTCAACAGTTAGTAATACTGTCTCTATTGAATGTAGCTTTGTCCATCCATAGTATGGTTTTCGGAAAGTTTCGGTTTGCTTTGGTTTTTCTTTGAATCCAAGTGGACATCAAACACCTTAGACGCCAGTCTAAGTCTTCATGTAGATGTTGCACCCTTTGGTAGTAATAAGGATGCAATTCTTCTTTCTTTAAAATGCACCACGCTCATTTTTGGGATATTCCGTGACGAAAAGCCAGTCGTCTAGTACTTATGGATAGATCAGCAAACAAATCATTCAGTACTGCTTGCCACATCAATAATTACTTGAGGCGGCTCGCGATGATCTCTACTAGATCCAAGTCTAGAGATCGACAACCTTCTGTGAACTTCCTGAACAATAGTTTGTGAACTTCCTGGAAGTTGCGGGCAGATGGCACTGGTCGCCTGTTAGGAAATGCAGGTATGTAAGTTACGCGCGCATCTCTGGCACTTCCTCGTCCCACTTCATAGTAAAAATTTATATCGGCAATGTGTGCCAGGGAGAATTCACTTAAACACGGCATCATGTAGCACCCATCGAAAGTTAGGAAACTCTGGTAGCAGGGAACGAAAGTAACAAAACACATGTAGCTGCGGTGAATAATTCGGAACGACTGCCTGTGCCTGGTGCCTGCCTGTCAGTATTCAAGGTCCCTTCGGCTAGCCCTACCTCCCCGCACCCTGACCTGCGCACATTCACAACAAAATTCACAAAGAAAAGACTATCTACCTGCTAAACAATTAGTGTGTAGTTGTGGGCTGAGCCTTTCTTTAGCAGTCAATAACAATGATGTGCTTGAGTTAAAAACATGCAATTTTCACCATTACATGGCTAATACGATGAAAAGTAACTGAAAGTAACTAAACCGGTAGGTAATAACTCAAGTTTCGGCTGCTGTACATGAACTGATCAAGTGAGCCAGCAAAAGAGTAAGTGCGTGATTTGTTCGTTGTTTTTTTTTTATCGGATAAGGGTGACAAACGAGCACACAGTCCACCTGATGGTAAGTGGTTGCTGCGGCCCATAGACATCTACATCTATCCTCTGTTACAAATCAAAATGTAGATGCGTTGTCACCCGTGAGGACTAAGATGGAATGCCTCATTTACAGTAAAAAGGGCCTCCGGCCACCTGCACTCACCAAGCGAAACGCAGAGGTATACCTCTACTTCACGCTGGTTTTCTATGAGGTCGTGGTACTACCCCGGTTTGAGCCGGCCTATCAGTGCGACAGCAAAAGCTGCCGCGTGGCTCTACCACTGTTAATACGATTGTGTGCGAGCTTTGTGTTTCAAAGAGTGTTTAGTTACAAACAAAACAATTTGTTATTTAAAATTTGATAATTGCTAAGTTATGTAATTTAATTTCTTTTATAAGTTTCATTAATTATGATCAATATAGTTAGGTAAGTCACAGACCTATTATTACTGTAATACCCAAGAAGGGCGGTTAACCTTTTACTACATACCGTGACAAATTTGGTACACTCAACTTTTGGTGTAATATATTACTGCCTGCGGCATCTACGATCTTTTCTCGAAACTAATTCGTAATAGAGAGTGTAACTCACCTAAATATGTGATAGTGGTGCCTCTTCAGAAAAGCCTAGAAACTAAAATCAACTGTTTCTTTTTTAATTATTCTATATATTTAAAAAAAATTGAATTTATTTAAGAATATTTTGCCTGTGATAATTTAATTATCACAGTCAAAATATTATAATATATTATTTATAGCTTATGTACCTGCTTATCTTAAAGCTAGGCTAATATTGTTTCGTGAAGACTACTATATAGCTAGTTTTGTTGTTAAATGCAGGTACTTACTATAACCAAGATTAATACCAAAAAATGTGTGATACTATATATACCTTTTTATTTCAATCCTACATAATAAGTTTGGTAATTATAGTTATCCCAATCTACCAAAGAGCAAGATAGAAAAACACATTTATGAAAAAGTAATATGTAACAAATCATTTACTCTGTTTCGTACTGTTAACTTGAGTTGCGTGAATTTTAACTGAAGTTGTAATTTTTCCAATTTGGTACATCTATATTATAAACATGCAATTTTTACTGTTAGGTAGCTAATATGATGAAGAATAACTGAAAGGAATAAAAAAGGTACGTAATGGAGGTGTCTTATTGAGAAATTTTACGATTATTGTAAAAATTTATGAAAAATAAACATGTTCATTTTCAATTGAGGTTAGCTTTTTCTCCAATATTTTATGAGGACGCCTAATTACTTTCAATCATTATGGAGTTTGTTTCATTGCAGTATCATTTGATCTACTGTGATGAAACAAATGAAGGTATAAATTTACAGTTTTGTTTACACTGGGGTAACAGTAGTGAACAAAATTTTCAAAAATTCCATGAAAAATATTTAGGTTTGTTTGAATATTTTTTCCATCAATGAAATTAAGCATATATTCCCTCATTTCGATAGTACAAATTATAGAGATATTTTCATTATAGAGTTATGTATATTTTCAGTGTAAGTACTTTAAAATTACTTACATGTGTGCAGTACACATTTATAAGCTTATCTTCATATCTAATTCGACATAAACCAACTCCCTTCCCTCCAAACCAGTCACCATGGTGGATCTTATGGATGTATCCATTTAAAGGCCACTTATGGAAAAATACATCCTGTATTAACCACTTTGAAAATACACACAGTCCTGAACCAACAACACCACTGAAAGGAAACATATTTTTTTTATTACCAAATTAGTGTGCAAGTGTGTAAGAAGATAATTTATAACTAGTAAAAAAACATAATTTACCTATAGAAATAATGAGTATATGGCAAGATATCTTTAAGACTGTCTTTTAAAAACAAATAATCTTTTTCACTCCAAATTTCCTGAAGGCAAACAATTGTATGGGAACTATTTATTAGATATTTTGCTAGAGCTTGAATTCTTTCTTTTCGATTTTTAGAGACAATTGGTATTCCCCTGTAACAGTTACAAACGACATCTTAAAAACATTTGAACTAATCAAAAAAGAGTAGGTAATAAAAAAAATCTTACCAGCAATTTAACGTAAAAATATTTAGTGTTAAACCCATAACTTAGAGCTGTATGTGTTTTAAGTATTTATTACAAATCTCTATATTTCGTCTTTGGTTCTTTTATCACAAACGTTTACTTAATATCACAGATTTTATGGAATTATTCACAAAGTACAGCACATTCCAAATTTAATATTGCATATAGGTATTTAAGTACTTAAATCCAATTGTATTTTACTTAGAGGCCAGGTTTAATTAATAGTGAATGATGAATCGCTTTGGGCCTAGAAGTTTAGTTACCTATTAAGTACTTACTAATTACCCATTAGCCTATTACCTTATTAGGTAACTACTACTAAATAAATTTAAAGCAATAAAAGTGAGCGATAAACTGATAAATAACGTCACGACCACAGAACTAGAGATGAAGCGTATATACTATATACAAGAACAGATCTAGGCACTAGGTATTAAACGAGACTAGGTTGCATCTGTTCCAGCTTTTAAAATACTTGATCCACCTAGTCTCACTGTGCCTACGCGTCGCACGGCACACGGCGGCGGCCCGATCGAATCGAAGAAGTAGAAGTAACGGCGCGGCAAAGCGAGATAGCATTTTATTGTCATAGTTACTAGTCTGCTTTGCCGCTCACTCGTGTTTGCCTAAATCATTCGTGTGTCAGTCATTTGAATTTGAACTATATTTCAATGTGTATAAAAGTGACACGACGCGCACTCGTGTTGTGCAAGAATATATTTTGTCCTTTTTTAAGTACACTGTTCCGCAGTCTTTCTTTGTCAATACAGTCTTGAGTATTAGTCGGGACTCGGGACTAGTTCCGGGGTACTAAAACCAAATATTATACAGATTTTATAGATTAGGTACTAATAAATAATCGATACTAATGGAGACCATATGATGCAGTCGAGTGTCTAGTTCGGACTCATGCGAATGTGATCTTGGCACCGTATTGAACGATATCTACTCGACTTATTTAGTAATATGTTTTCGTAAAGAAGTTTTGTTATGTGGTTAAATAACTTTCACTTTTTTTATTAGACATTAAAGTGTTTATTGTTTAAAAAAATTGCAGCAGTGTCGCTTGGGATCTTTTTACGAACAAATGCCAACAAACGTCTGAGTGTAACATTCGTATGAAAAAAACAATAATTGTAGATAGGTAATTGAAAAAACGAAACAAAATTATGAAAAAAAAAAATAAACGAAGAAAGATAAAAATCCGATTACTCTAAAATAAAAAATGAATTGAAATCTTTTAAATACGCCAACAATCTAGAATGTAGATAAATCTTAACGTTGATCAGTCATAAGCCTATATAAAGTATGAATGGACGATTGATTGCTATTCATTACCTTCACGTATCGATCGGGTCGGCTGTGCGTAAAGAGTAGACTAAGCGTACTTTAAAGCGTATAATATTCCAACAATACCAAACCCTATGCGTACTTCATGGACTAGAACTAGGTGGAACAGGTACTTGGATCGAGTATTTGTACCGAATTGTACTAAGTGCACCTAGTACGTACTTTACCTGGTACGACGCATCTCTGCACAGAACACAATTACTCTCTACTAGTATGTGCTCTCTACCAAAGATATAGTACATAGATTCCTGTATATATATACCACAGACTAATTAGTAGATTCTACTCGAATATATATACTAAAATTCTAGAGATATAGTGGTTTAGTAGATATATAACCCTATACAGGCACTCTCTACTTTTTTATAACTGGCTTTAAGGCTCTGGGTTATAGCCCTTCTGAGCCTGAAGTTACAATGTATAATTATCCTTCATAGTACACTGCTTCACAATATGTTGATGGGTCACATTGTGCAGCCCTTGGGAGATTTTGACGGCAATTTGAGCCAGCAGAACAGGTGGCTGTTGGCGATGGTATCTCAAGGCGCCTAAGCAGACAGACACCTTATCTTGAGAATCACATCACCATCAAAGCACTAGTTTCACCGTTTCCACTAATAGTTCACATGCGTAGCTGCGTGTTGCCAACTGTTATACTAGCTCTCCACCAAATTCAACTTCTAAAATCATAAAACCATAAAATACTACAATATTTTCCACTAAACAAATTTTTGTTAACCCTTAATTTGGCAAGGAAAAAAAAGTAAAAAAAAACCTATATTTTTGTTAATATGTATTTAGTAGTGAGTAAAAACATACGAAAAAAAAAATAAAAAAATATAATATACTTATTTTCGCGAAAAATCAATGTCCGCGACAACGGCCATTGCCAAATATGTAAAAACTGACTTGCTGATTTAACGGTCCGGTCTGACGGACATTATCAAATTAGGGCAAAATAATAAATCCAACTATTTTAATATTTTATTAAGAATGTAATAACTTATGACTAAAAATAAACTACATAGTTAATCTTATTTGGTATGGAAATCTAAAAAACAATTTCTGGCATTTTTTCCAGTTACAAAGCAAAGTCGCGTCTGACATTTTATGCAGTACACCACAGTTTTTTTGGCAGTATCTACGTCCTTCCTCCATGGTCTGCGGGAAATGACCTACATTGTCGTACTTTATTGGACTGAAAGGGCTTGCTGCACGGGGGACTTGATTTTGGGGCTACGATTTTGCTCCGTTTGGCACAACGGTTTTCAGAGATGAGATTCTCATACAGAGTATATCGAAAAGCTTTCAGTGCCATCTTCTTTTTACAATTGCCTTCATTTGCCTTTCTGTGAACCAAGCAAGCATTGTTTACACAAATGTCCAGTAATTGCATAAAAATAGCCATATACCAGCGTCGTGTTTTGAATGGCGTTTTGTACAGCGATATAAACATATCAGCTAGGTCAACTCCGCCCATATGTTTATTGTACTGTCGCACAATTTGTGGAAACTATACTACTACTTTCATCTTCCTTTCTGCTACAGCAGTAGAGGAATAGTTGCTGTTAGTAGAAGGACATTCATCATGCATTTCAGATTCAGAGTCTGATTTTCCACTTGCATCTAAAGAAGCATGCTCGTTAGGAACTAAGCCTAATATTATTGACGCAAGTGTGTGCTGTTGACAAGCAGAAAATAAAACAAATAAGAAAACACCCATAACCGCAAATTAAACGAACTTTGGTGATGTCCGTCCCAGCGGACAATGTAATTTAGAACAACATTTCTAGATCTTTGGCAATGTACGCTGGGACGGACAAAGAGGTTAAGAAGCAAAAAAATTAATAGAACACACTTCATACGTTGGGAATTACGAGTTAACATAATCACACATACCTAGTCAGATCATAAATTCTGTCACATGGTTAATACGAGTATAAAATAATTGAAACAAGTTTATTCATTATATAACCATTTATATACCAAAATGAATTTAACAAAACATAGATTCTTATGACACTAAAGTTTATTCAAAATGACCTCCGTGATTTTGAATACAGGCCTTCAATTTGCGCGGCCAGTCGTCTATCGCAGCACGAACGAGGTCCATGTCAATATCGGCAGCTGCCTTAATCAAGGATGTCTTGAGTGACTCCAAATTGGGATGAGGCTTTGAGCACGCCTTTTCCTCCAAGTGTTGCCATATCTTGTAATCTAACGGATTCAAATCTGGACTGGAGGAGGGCCAGTCTTCGTGCCGGATGAAGTCGATTTCACGCGCCGCCAGCCAGTCTTGTGTGCTCTTCGCTCTATGAGCTGGCGCCAAATCTTGTTGGAATACCCAGTGCCTGTTATTGAACATGGTATGAGAAACACGTTCCACAAGGTTCGTCAGGACTGTATTTTGATACACAACTGCATTCGTTTTTACACCTTTCTCACAAAAATGTACCTCTGTTAAGCCCCAGTAAGAAACTCCCAACCATACCACGAGCGAGGATGGAAAATGACCTCGTTGGACACGCGGAATACGGTTGCTCGCTTTTTCACTACTGTGTGCGTACACCTTATCATTTTGTTTGTTGTAGCTCTCTTCTACGGTAAAAATATTTTCATCCGAAAAAATAATTTCCCGATATTTTTTCCCGCGTACATCTCTTCAGTCTCAGGTCCATTAGACGAGCATTCAAACGATGTCCTGTTTTTCTTCGATATGCCCGAAGCATTAAGTCTTCATTTAACACCCTTTTCACCGTGGTTCTGCTTAACCTCTTCTGAAGGGCCAACAGTTTCTGCTTACGTTTGGGATTTCTTTGAAGCTTTTATCACTGCTGGAGTCCTAACAGACCGAGGGCGACCACTTCTTGACCTGTCATCTACACTAGAGTCTTCATTGTATCGTTTGATGGTACGATAAACGAATCTTTTGGTTATATTCAAATTTTTCAGTATGTCAAAAATTTGAATTGGCGCGTAACCGCAACGATGCAACGCAATAACTGCAACACGGTCTTCTTTAAGCGTCCACTCCATATTTAAAAATGAGTAAAATTTTAAAAAGTATACAGTTTTATTTTCATGAACAATTCGAAATTCGAATTTAATAAACTTTTTTGTGGCCTGCATTCTAAAAGAAAAGTTTTTACTGTGTGACAATACTTATGACCTGACTAGGTATATATTCTATCACCCAATGCAAAAGACTTTTACTTTTGTTACACAAAACATGAAAATATAAAAAATTTTACCTTGCTAAAAAAGATGATCGCCTCCGCGCTGATATTTTGTTTTCGAGTGACAGTTTTGGACAGTCTTGTCACTCTAGGAATTCATTTGGCACAATATTATTTTTTTTTTGGAGTTTATGGCCTGGTATCTAGACCTTTAGGCCAAGTCTTAAGTATTTTTATTCGGTTTATTGTAATTTCCCCACTCCTTCATAGTATACTGCTTCACAATATGTTGATGCGTCACATTGTGCAGTTCTTGGGAGATTTTGGCGGCAACTTGATCCAGCAGACAGCTGATAGTTGGCGATGGTATCTAAAGGTGCCTATGCAAACAAACAGCTTATCTTGAGAATCCATCACCATCAGAGCACTTGTTTCACTGTTTCCACTAATAGTTCACATGCGTAGACACTTAATACACAAAATCGCAACACTTT